TTGAATGGGGTAGTTTGAACATTTTAAACTATTATTTTTGACAATTATAAATTGTGTTTGTGTTTAAAAAATGCTATTGGAAAGTCTAATTTTATTGGAAGATGATTTTGTTTTGGTTTTTTCTTTGTTTATACTATTTTAGAGATAAATTGTATCATATTTCACAAAGGTGGCAACTGTATTGGGAAATAATGTTGCAATAGTTTCCTCTAGTAATATTAACAGTCTGGCAAATTTTGAAGACAAGACGGATTATGTATTAAAAGAATATTTTATTGAGATATATTTTGTTTTTTTTAGATTTTTAATTATCAGGGACTTTAGTGTGAGACAAATTGTTTATTTAATTTTTTCAGACTTAAATTGCAAATTACCAGAAATTAGAGACAACTGTTAAACTCATTATTTGTTTAGAATTCTTTAAAAAGGTCATATTTGAATAATCTAAAGTAAATCAGTCAGAAATTATTAAAGGTTTTGTTATTTAATCGTATCAAATTTGTTAAGGTAACACATTCCAAACACTTCCCTTAGTTTCAATAATTTTTGTTTCAATGTTGGTTGTTTTGTTTTGTTCTTAATGTGAGTTTGAGAATTTCTTTAAAAGTCTAGGGTTTTTTTTATAAATTATATGTTGTATTTGTTGTGAGTTATATGTTTGTGTAGGCTTCCTATTTACCCATCCCCACTGACCAACTGTAGACAAGGCTACAAGAACTTCATGATTTGCCCTGTTATCTTCAACATTGTGATCGGAGGAAGAGACTTTGTCAAACTCAATGAAAACTGGGGAAACGCAGCTGGGGGCAAGGGCTTTTAAGAAGAGGAGAACTTCAGGCTGCAGTACACTCAATCAATGGCAAAAGCAGTCCAACATCATTGTCAACCAAAGTCGATTCATCATCAATGCTGTCAAGGAACGCTGGATGGACTACAGACTATAGACACCGAAGTGGGAGACATCGCAGAAGACATGGCTGTGGTCAAACATCTGAAGACCAACGACTGTTCGAGGAGGCTTTATCAACGCAACTGCTGAGGAAGTCAGCAAACAGTTGGTCAGTTCTTCCCCTCCTAAACCTTATTTTGATTTTGTTTAGGTACAATTTTAAAAGATTTTAATCAGTTTTGGTTATTAATTATTTTTTTTCTGAGTGGATGTATCTATGTAGTTGAGACGCTGGGGACATCGTCTGGAGGAAATGGGGGGATGTAATAGGAGGGTCAAATATTGTAAAGAGGAAGTGTTTGGCAATGTTGTGTGAGTAGGCTGGTAGTGTTGTTAAACAATAACTTGTTGTGCTGACCTACTGAAGGCTGTTGCTTTAAGTAGGCCAGTGCACTTGATCAGGGGGTCAGTTTTGGTGTGTAGTGTTTGTGTGGTGCACCTGAGGACGGGGTCCTGCTGGGGGAGCTGGAGCCCAAGGCCCTTGGCCTTGGGTCCAGGTAAGAAAATGTTAAGGGTTTTCAAAATTGGGGTTTAGAGTCTTTTTCCAAATTGGGGTTTAAGTTCCTAACTAAATGATTACAGTTCCAGTCTACTCTACCTTTTTTGATCGTTAGTTTAGCTTTGTGTTCTTTGTGTTGTTTTGAGTAATTAATAAAGTTGGGTTTTGTAAGCGAGTGCTGAGTTTCATTCCTGAGCTACGTCACCCAAAGTAACAGTACGTATTACAAGAGGAATACGACCGTTACAGTGGGATGCTGTCAAATAATTCCAATTCATTCTAACCTAACAATACTATTTATTTGGGGTTATGTTATTTCAAGGACTTGTATCAACAACTTATTTAAGTTATTGCACGTTAAAACCTCTGTATTTAAAGTTATTTGAAACGTTATATATTGTTTTTGTTTGATGGTAAATGAATACTAACTTATTTACCTCTTTTCAAGCTATGTGGTGAAAATAGGCTAGTCAAATTTCCTGGTTTGGAGATATTGGTTTAGGCCAATAGCCCTATGGCATTTGATTAAATAACGACTATCGGTTTAAGATCTTGTTAAAATGGGTTGCTCTTGCTCGTAAAATAAATAAATAAACTTATATTTCAATCATAATGTTGAGTTGGCAGAGTTTTGTTTACTACTGTATCAACGAAACAGGATGACGCCATCTTGATTTTGCCTCTAATTTGACAAGTCCCACCAACCCGATCACCCGGCCAACCTAACAAAACGAAACTCTGAAACAAAACCAGCAAAAACAGTGGTACGTTTTTAAAACACAGAGTGGTTACTCCAGTGGCTGCTCACCGTATCGTTGCGGTACGGTAATGGTCTTCTCTCAAGCCAATCAATATACTGAATCTCCCTATATACCGCAACTCATATTGAAATAAAAATTACGTGAACGGGGCTTATCTGTGTATCATGAGCAGTAGCTTATAACACTTTCTAAAGGTTTAATATTTACGTTATTTATAGCAATGCAGTGTTTGGTTAGTTATTAGTTGAGCTTGAGTTATCTATAATTTTAAACGTTGCCGTTTGTACAACTGAACCAAGATAAATGATTTGAAATGTATAATAATAATAATATTGCACAATAATAATGATTGTGCAATATTGAATTTCGTTTATAAAAATGCAAATCGTGACGTTAATGGCTGTTTACAGCGTTTTAATGGGTTTGTCATCTGTTTTTATACTATATTGGATTAACCGTATTTTTCATTATCCCCCTCCCTAGTAACTCAGGTAATCGAGTATCTACACAATAGTGTAAAGTATTGTAGCCTATGCTACTTGATTGTATTTTAACGAGCTTTATGTCAACAAAGCGTTCTGTGCTGAGTCGCGGTGTAGCTGGACGTCACGCGTTATCTTTATCAATTACAGCAGTTGAGCCATCCCGTGCCCTCCCTCAGATTTCACGTCTTGCTAATCTTGAATAATAACTTCCTACACGAATCCTCCTAAAATCCTATTTTAACTAATTGAATTCAATAATATAACTATTGTCATTAATTAATCAACTTTCTATCTGGCGACTTCGTTATATATTTTTGATTGTCGTCACGTTGAACACTGTTGCAATTAACTTTATTTAGCTTTATTTATAAGGTTATTTATAACTCCAGAGAGCACAAGTTCACATGTACAGAAACCTTATACTGACGTCATAAATATCGAATGTATATATCGATTGTACCGGGTGGTTACGGGTTTTTCTTCGGAATGTAAGTATCGGTTGCACCGAATAAGTAAAGGGGTTTTTTTGTAACACTTTATTTGACGAATTGAATACTCTCGGTAGTTTATCCATTATAAATCAAATAGTAGAAATACAATAATATTCGTTACCGGTACAGGCTGGGAATAAAATAATTACTGATACTTTGGATTGAACATCCAAGATGTTTGCAATTGTTTTCGTATTTACCTGACTTATAAAATAAAAACTTGAGTTCACAGGACGTTGAATACTAAGAATTTATTTCATAGCATCCACAATAATACAATAACTGTAATTAAAGTAGACGAATTACAGGAATTATTATCGATTCTAGAAGAGAGTGAAATAATAATTGTAACTTTGACATGTTACGTTATGTTAATGTTTGGGAATGATTTACTAACAGATATTGCCCATCAGTGTAAGGTGACAATTTAAGAAGCCCAAGAGGACTGGTTTAGGTATATATTATTTTATGGAATTTACAGTCACGTAAAATAGGCCCTACAGTTTAACCATTGACTAAGTACTGTGAGTACATTAATCAATGGTTTAGGTTTACAGAAAAAAGTAGAGCTTTTTTCTCATTTTCCCCTTTAGTACATCTTAATAAAACACCATAAGTTTTACCCAATTATATTATTCTGGCTCCATTTAATTCACAATAACGTTATACTTACTAAGCCTTATCTTGTTACTTATAAATGAAAGTACTGGGACATAATATAAATAAGGAAACATTAAGTAGTAGTAATCCGATTAATTTGTAGGATAGTTTATTACTTTTTGATCGTACCACATTCTATATTATTCAACTCGAGCCTACGCACAGGCCACTAGTGCCCATATAGTCTCGTTTCCCATCAAATTTATTTTTACGTTAAGGAACCATTTTAATTCTTTTTTATTAATTATGTTACATGAATTCAATGTAATACATTTTTATCATTTTAGTTATATACCATAAGACCTTTCATATGTAACATTACTCAATTACATTTATTTATATATATATATTATGCTTCATATATAATTGCTTTCTTGCATTATTTGTTATTTTTGTATTTTGGTGGAAATAAACCTTGATTAGATTAGAGTGCATAAATTGATCAGTTCAATTTAAAAATGTATTTAAAGTTTGAGTTTTGAAAATTTGAAAAAACGATTAAAATTTGAATGAATTTTATATAATAGGGTCTAAATATTTAAATATTCAGGATAAAAATGTTCAATTGTAGATAACTTAACAAAAGCATAACAATACACTATAACGTTACCTAAACTAACTAAATTAATGCTTTTTTTATACATTAGCTTACAAATATTATAAAATACTAAACGTAATTTAGATTTAACGAATTAGATACGGTACTTAAAATTATTAAATCTTTTTACGATCTGGGGAAACGTCGATTATAAAATATCAACCAATGCAAGTTTAAGAATCTTAAAAAAAGAAATCTTGAATTAACGAGTTATAGTTATATATCGAGTGTATTCTGGCTCCATTTAAAAAGTAGTAGGTTTATTGAAAATAATCAGAACGAGTCTATTAACATGGTCACCGGGCACAGCAAAGTGAATAAGTGACGATGTAAAGCCGTGTCCCTTCGGCCTTCGATAATCGATTGCATAAACCATCACGATTCCGATAGCTGAAAAGTAGTCGATAGTCTAACAGTCATGTGACGTCATTATAAGGTTTCTGTACATGTGAAGAAGTGGCCTCCTCTACGCTCTATTACATCTGTCATCTACACTCTACACTACAGAAACAGAACAGAAACAGAGAACAGAAAAACACTAAACAGAAACAGAACGCAGAACGGTACGGTTACAGAAACAGAAGTAATCAAATCAAAATCATATGTTCTTCCCAAATCCCATTAAAAATTAATTGTGGAACAATGAACAGTTGAAATGAATAATAATTAATTTTGTAGAAATTTGATACAGTATTTATTAATAGTATTATTCATAATCATTTTTATTTAACTTTGTATTAACGTAGGCTATTATTGTTAATTGAAATGTATTCAGTTCGTGCTATTTAGTGATATTTAAATCTAGTAATAAGAACTTAATATTTTAATTTCCTGAAAAAAAATCAAAGAAAATTATTTAGGCAGGCTTAGGCCTTTATTAGGTTAGGTGCAGAGCAGACTATCTTCTTATCTTCAAAGTTAATAAGGTAAGCGCAAGTTTAGTAAAACATTGTAGGATAACCTAGACTAGTCTAGGCCTATATATTTAAGATTATGCCTAGGTTATATCCACTTATTTTCAATTTTTAATTTGTTAAAATTAAGTTTTTAAAATCCTAAGTAGGTAACAAAAATTGGTTTAAAATTAGGCTATTTTTACTTCTTTTGCACATAGCCTAAAGGGTTGAGTTTTAGATTAATTAAGCTATGTTGCATAAAGATAAATTGCATAGGATTTAAGAAATGATTTAACTTAGCCTATGCGGGATGGATGTAAAACTGCCAATAAACCAACATTAAGCTATGACGTCAACGTCAGATCAGCAGATCAAGAAGGCCGTGGCTTCAGAACTTCCTAACCTCAAATGCATGTTTCACTGAAAAATGTGGAAATCATATATTTTGAGCAGTGTTTAAGTGTTTGTTTTACTAATGTACCATTTTTATATAACTGAGTTGCCTAAATAAAGTACAATAACCATTAATATCACTTGTTGTTATTCCATTGTATCACTCTATGAACCACTAACCTCAAAGTGCATTACTCGCAACAAAGATATGTAAACATTCCTTTCAGCCTATTTTAATATTAAATTTAATTAATTTGATTAATAAATGTAACCGAGGCACATACGAAAAAAAAATAATGATATAACACTGTTACTGTTATACCATAATATTGAATCACGAAATATACTCCCGACGTACGAGATTGTAACAGTGTTACAGTAAATAAAAACAGCTTCAACTGGTACAATCAACAGAATGAGTAAAGTGTATTATTTCAAATCTGGTTTGATTCATGTTTATTATTTTCATGGAGTATGTTATTTACACGTATATACATGCCATAATAAAATGGCAAGCCCATTCGATGCTTATAATGGTTACTGTAGGTGGTATAAGATAGGCCTGCTCCTTACTGGGCTACGTTTTTTTAAGATAAAAAAATTATATTTCAAATTTCGCTCGATAAATTTTTATTATTTTTATGGAGTATGTTATTTAGACTTCTATACATGTTATAATTAAATGGCAAGCCCATTCAATGCTTATGATGGTTTCTATAGGTGGTAGAAGATAAGCCTGCACCTTATTGTGCTACCAAATTTTCATAAAAAAAATTATATTTCAAATTTGGCTCGGTAAATTTTGATTATTTTTATGGAGTATGTTATTTACAAGTATACACGTGACATAATTAAATGGCAAGCCCATTCAATGCTTATGATGGTTTCTATAGGTGGTAGAAGATAGGCCTGCTCCTTACTGGGCTACGGTTTTTTTCAGATAAAAAAATTATATTTCAAATTTGGCTCGATAAATTTTCATTATTTTTATGGAGTATGTTATTTAGACGTATACACATGTCATACGTAAATGGCAAGCCCATTCAATGCTTATGATGGTTTCTATAGGTGGTAGAAGATAGTCCTGCTCCTTACTGAGCTACCGATTTTTCAGAAGAAAAAAATTATATTTCAAATTTCGCTCGATAAATTTTGATTATTTTTATGGAGTATGTTATTTACAAGTATACACGTGACATAATTAAATGGCAAGCCCATTCAATGCTTATGATGGTTTCTATAGGTGGTAGAAGATAGACCTGCTCCTTACTGGGCTACGTTTTTTTCAGATAAAAAAATTATATTTCAAATTTCGCTCGATAAATTTTCATTATTTTTATGGAGTATGTTATTTAGACGTATACACATGTCATACGTAAATGGCAAGCCCATTCAATGCTTATGATGGTTTCTATAGGTGGTAGAAGATAGTCCTGCTCCTTACTGAGCTACCGATTTTTCAGAAGAAAAAAATTATATTTCAAATTTCGCTCGATAAATTTTGATTATTTTTATGGAGTATGTTATTTACAAGTATACACGTGACATAATTAAATGGCAAGCCCATTCAATGCTTATGATGGTTTCTATAGGTGGTAGAAGATAGGCCTGCTCCTTACTGGGCTACGGTTTTTTTCAGATAAAAAAATTATATTTCAAATTTCGCTAGATAAATTTTCATTATTTTTATGGAGTATGTTATTTAGACGTATACACATGTCATACGTAAATGGCAAGCCCATTCAATGCTTATGATGGTTTCTATAGGTGGTAGAAGATAGTCCTGCTCCTTACTGAGCTACCGATTTTTCAGAAGAAAAAAATTATATTTCAAATTTCGCTCGATAAATTTTCATTATTTTTATGGAGTATGTTATTTAGACGTATACACATGTCATACGTAAATGGCAAGCCCATTCAATGCTTATGATGGTTTCTATAGGTGGTAGAAGATAGTCCTGCTCCTTACTGAGCTACCGATTTTTCTGAAGAAAAAAATTATATTTCAAATTTGGCTAGATAAATTTTGATTATTTTTATGGAGTATGTTATTTACAAGTATACACGTGACATAATTAAATGGCAAGCCCATTCAATGCTTATGATGGTTTCTATAGGTGGTAGAAGATAGGCCTGCTCCTTACTGGGCTACGGTTTTTTTCAGATAAAAAAATTATATTTCAAATTTCGCTCGATAAATTTTAATTATTTTTATGGAGTATGTTATTTAGACGTATACACATGTCATACGTAAATGGCAAGCCCATTCAATGCTTATGATGGTTTCTATAGTTGGTAGAATATAGTCCTGCTCCTTATTGAGCTACCGATTTTTCAGAAGAAAAAAATTATATTTCAAATTTCGCTCGATAAATTTTGATTATTTTTATGGAGTATGTTATTTAGACTTCTACACATGTTATAATTAAATGGCAAGCCCATTCAATGCTTATGATGGTTTCTATAGGTGGTAGAAGATAGGCCTGCTCCTTACTGGGCTACGGTTTTTTTTCAGATAAAAAAATTATATTTCAAATTTCGCTCGATAAATTTTCATTATTTTTATGGAGTATGTTATTTAGACGTATACACATGTCATACGTAAATGGCAAGCCCATTCAATGCTTATGATGGTTTCTATAGGTGGTAGAAGATAGTCCTGCTCCTTACTGAGCTACCGATTTTTCAGAAGAAAAAAATTATATTTCAAATTTCGCTCGATAAATTTTGATTATTTTTATGGAGTATGTTATTTACAAGTATACACGTGACATAATTAAATGGCAAGCCCATTCAATGCTTATGATGGTTTCTATAGGTGGTAGAAGATAGGCCTGCTCCTTACTGGGCTACGGTTTTTTTTCAGATAAAAAAATTATATTTCAAATTTCGCTAGATAAATTTTCATTATTTTTATGGAGTATGTTATTTAGACGTATACACATGTCATACGTAAATGGCAAGCCCATTCAATGCTTATGATGGTTTCTATAGGTGGTAGAAGATAGTCCTGCTCCTTACTGAGCTACCGATTTTTCAGAAGAAAAAAATCATATTTTAAATTTGGCTCGATAAATTTTGATTATTTTTATGGAGTATGTTATTTACAAGTATACACGTGACATAATTAAATGGCAAGCCCATTCAATGCTTATGATGGTTTCTATAAATATAATTTTTTTATCTGAAAAAAACCGTAGCCCAGTAAGGAGCAGGCCTATCTTCTACCACCTATAGAAACCATCATAAGCATTGAATGGGCTTGCCATTTAATTATGTAACGTGTATACTTGTAAATAACATACTCCATAAAAATAATCAAAATTTATCGAGCGAAATTTGAAATATAATTTTTTTCTTCTGAAAAATCGGTAGCTCAGTAAGGAGCAGGACTATCTTCTACCACCTATAGAAACCATCATAAGCATTGAATGGGCTTGCCATTTAATTATAACATGTGTAGAAGTCTAAATAACATACTCCATAAAAATAATCAAAATTTATCGAGCGAAATTTGAAATATAATTTTTTTCTTCTGAAAAATCGGTAGCTCAGTAAGGAGCAGGACTATATTCTACCAACTATAGAAACCATCATAAGCATTGAATGGGCTTGCCATTTAATTATGACATGTGTAGAAGTCTAAATAACATACTCCATAAAAATAATCAAAATTTATCGAGCGAAATTTGAAATATAATTTTTTTCTTCTGAAAAATCGGTAGCTCAGTAAGGAGCAGGACTATCTTCTACCACCTATAGAAACCATCATAAGCATTGAATGGGCTTGCCATTTACGTATGACATGTGTATACGTCTAAATAACATACTCCATAAAAATAATGAAAATTTATCGAGCGAAATTTGAAATATAATTTTTTTATCTGAAAAAAACGTAGCCCAGTAAGGAGCAGGCCTATCTTCTACCACCTATAGAAACCATCATAAGCATTGAATGGGCTTGCCATTTAATTATGTCACGTGTATACTTGTAAATAACATACTCCATAAAAATAATCAAAATTTATCGAGCGAAATTTGAAATATAATTTTTTTCTTCTGAAAAATCGGTAGCTCAGTAAGGAGCAGGACTATCTTCTACCACCTATAGAAACCATCATAATCATTGAATGGGCTTGCCATTTACGTATGACATGTGTATACGTCTAAATAACATACTCCATAAAAATAATGAAAATTTATCGAGCGAAATTTGAAATATAATTTTTTTATCTGAAAAAAACCGTAGCCCAGTAAGGAGCAGGCCTATCTTCTACCACCTATAGAAACCATCATAAGCATTGAATGGGCTTGCCATTTAATTATGTCACGTGTATACTTGTAAATAACATACTCCATAAAAATAATCAAAATTTATCGAGCGAAATTTGAAATATAATTTTTTTCTTCTGAAAAATCGGTAGCTCAGTAAGGAGCAGGACTATCTTCTACCAACTATAGAAACCATCATAAGCATTGAATGGGCTTGCCATTTAATTATGACACGTGTATACGTGTAAATAACATACTCCATAAAAATAATCAAAATTTATCGAGCCAAATTTGAAATATATATTTTTTTTATCTGTAACATCAGTGGTCTAATAAATGGCAGGTTCAACTTCTACCTCATACAG